TCGTTCGGAATCCTCGAAGGCGCAAATCGGTGGTAGAACTACGGTAAAAGTGTGGCATCGTAGTTCCTGATAGAAATGAAAATTTCATGGTAGTTGAGAGAAGGGTTCGCATTGAACCAGGTAAAACGAATTAGAAAGTTCAGAATTGAAAAGCTTTCTAGCAGTTGAAGGTGATGCGCCCAAGCTTTGCTTCCTGTTTTCTTACCATAAAATTCATCGCGGATGCAGCGTGAGCTGTCCATTTAGTGCGTAGAAAACGGCATGCATTAAGTGCAGTTACCATTAGTCGATCGTTTCAGCGCTGTCGAAGAAATTACAAGTGCATCAATGTTGTAAGCTGTAGTTCTACCCGTTTCACGATTTTTCCAGGTCAAACTTACTCAAGATGAACGGTTCACTCAGGCGGCTGTGAAGTATTGCCAAGAAGAGATCGACAAGAATCCAGGTGAGCCCCACACAAAGAAAACCTTATGTCAGATCTCATAAGTCTTCAAGTTTCTTCGTTATAGCGATGAAGAAGTGCACTGAATTGACGCAGCCTGGATATGCGCTAAGTTGTTTGCTCGAGTTCACTCCGAACGTGACGGCTACGTCACAGTGTCATGCTTTTCTACGTAAGTGGTGTTTTGAGATTTTTTTTTCGTTATAAGCAGACTCCATTGAGAAGGCATTGCATCTATGTCTTTCTATCGTTACTTTTCTGGTTTCTTTTATGGTGATTCTCATGAATTTGGTATTTATTCGTTTTTAGGTAGAACAGCTGTTTTGGCTTTCGGCGATTTCCGTCTTATTGGACCATTCGTGGAGAAATGTGGAGCAACCCTTAGCAAATTAGGATGCGGGACGCTTACTCCTCACAAAGCCCATGAAGGGGTGAGAGTGCCTCATACACAAGGTAATAGCTAAATTTACTAAGTAATGTGGATGTGATATTTAGAAATTTCTCTGCCTTTATGTTAGAAATAGCTTCCACTACGCGTTAGTTGTGCCAGACGACATTCATCTCTCCTTCGAATCGCCATGAATATTTGTTAAAGTTTAGTTCTGCGAGAAGATAGGGCTCCAGTTGACTCGGCAGTTTTTATCTAACTCAATGAAAAAATTCTAGCTTTTGTTTTTAAGGAAGTCGCTACAGATTTCCAACACCTTCCCTTTCTATTAATTCGATTATGACCTCCAGAATTTCTAACAATACATAATCGAGCTCACTATCAACAAAAAGAGACGGATCGATTACACTTGCTTTGTTCCAGGCATGGCTCTGGAATGTCTTATAAGTAATGTTGTAAAACACGGAAAAGATCAGTCTGACCCACTTCAGATGTTGGAACCAGGATGCAGGCACGAGGTTTACATTCTAAAGATTATTGCCTAGATATTTAGTTTTTTCTTTATAAATCGAGATTTTGTTTGCTTTTTCGTGCATACACGGCCATCGAGCTCTGCAGATCACTTACTACCTGTAACAGGCTGAGCTCTATCCAGTTTTACATTTTAGGTGATGCGGCTGGTTGAAATGCAAACCGATGACTTTCACTTGGACAGGACCCTTTTCTTCGCATGCCGGCAAGACAGAGAGGTATAGTCAAGGCATTTCGGTCATCAGTAACTAGTAACTCCTAGAGAGTTTATTGATTGCGTTTGCTAATTGCTGTATTTCAGCGCTATTGTAAAGAAGTTCAAGCCGGTCAAGGGAAAGTATTTGAGTGCCTCATGATGAATCGAAACGATCAGTTCATGGAGCCAGAGGTAAGATTCCTTGTAGGAGGGCTAATGATAGCATTAAACACTTTCTTGCTGGTACTTATAAGATTTAGAATTTTTTTTTTTGAAATCTTCGGTTTTTTGGCTGGGAACTTTAATTTTTCACTAACTCTCGCTGATGATGTTTCATTTGAATACTTTTGATATCAATTCGTAAGGCAATGTTGTTGAAAACGAATGCTTTTCATTATCTTCAGTGCGCAAGAATGCTGGGCGAACGAGCTTATCTGATGGGCCGCAACTATCGCATGGCTCATCCTCTTGTGAAAGCCTGCGCAAACGAAATGAAGGAGTGAGTTATTTGGATTTGATTTCTTCGATTGTTTTTTACTATTACTCGTATTGACTTTGTTGTGCCACTATATACCTATGTAAGTATGTCATGGTAGTGAGGTATGGATGAAGCTGAAGGTTGTTGAGCAGATGACGATCGTGTTAACAGTGCCCTCGCCCTAGTTTTGGGCATCAGTACAGGACGCTGCTATAATCTTCATAGTTGCCAAACTTTTTGCTTGATATTTCATACGAAATTTCTTCATATTTAAGATACAAATGTGAACCACAAGATGAGCTAGAGTCGGCCGCCCACTTCCACTTGACGTGGATACTGTTGTGTCTGGAGAGTCATGCACACAATGCGCAGGTATTTTTTACGAGTGATTTGAGTGATAATGGTTGTGTTTTTAACCGTCGTATTGAAGAGTCCCGAAAAACTGCCTTCTCCGCAATGTCAGCATGAAATGTTGACCCATCGGCAAATGATGATCACTGAGTTCCATATGGCACCGGATGTTGTGATGCACTGCTCTCAGGTTAGGGATAATCACGCCATCTGATCTAGCTTTACTTTCACTGGTCTTTTTTGGAACAACTTCTCTTCTCTTTTGCTCAGTACAATTCGTATATTCCCTGAACTGGACGTAAATCACTGATTTATTGTTATACCCTGTTTAAGTGTCTTTAATTTTTTCGTTTGTGGGCATAGCCTCAAATTTTTGGGGATGTTGATCTCAACATACAATCACCTATAAGCTTACTTTTCATTCAAGACGTACAAGTTTCGTTCTATGCTCTGTATACTTTCCTTGACGAAACTTGACGTACTTCATGAAACACACAGCAGTAGTAAATATGTATTCAAAATTGATTGAACTTCTTTCTTTCTTGTCTTTCTCTTCAAATTTCTTCAATCGCTTATTTTCCAGGAAATCGACAAGTGGTGTAGCCCAAGAGGTGATATTGAGCCGAAAGGACTCACGCTGCATTGCTTGATGGAACATGCATCAGTGAGTTAATTAGATTGCGAAAAAGATTCTTCTTGTTGAAATACATGTATGCATTGAAGAAATATGATTTGTACATTGTAGTCAACGGACAAGACAAAACAAGTAGGAGCTCAGTGTATGCAGGCACTAAAAGACGTTGTCAAGGTTGGATCTCCTATTAATTTGCAAACATCGGCCCGCGTTTTGAAGCCCTCGCTCAGATATTACTTTTGCTCTAGGTTGCTGATGTTGGATCGAACTACAAAGTTGACAAGGTTCTCTATGGATCGTGCAGATCACTCATTGACGGTTAGTTAGGAGTTTTCTTCCCATGGAAAATGAAAAAATTGGGTCCGGAGGACCTCCTAAAACCGCCTTTAAACTTTTTTGATGCATTCTTGATAAATTAACCCTTCATAGGTAGATTGGAATAGATCAAAATACCATATGTTTGATTCAATTTTTATTACTTATAATGTTAATCGATTAGTATTATTCATATAGTATATTCAACCCAGTCGTGCATTTCGTTTGTCAATAAAGCAGTGGCCATAGCGAAAATAAAGGTGTCCATCGCCTAAACTCATTTTCTGGTCAACGGTGGATATAATTTGATTCACTTTGTAGATGATCAGTGGTAATATCGTTGGAGGCTCTTATTATATGGGCGTTTCGCATTGTCTACTCCCTGGTTGTGTTATGAACTATTTCTGCAGTAATAAGGCTTTCAAATATTAGATTTGCGCTCTAGATAGTGATGGCTTTTGTATTACCTCTTTATAGATGACACCGTGAAACTTCATTTTGTGACAGGAATCTACTTTTTCCATTTTTCGCTTCATCATTCAATGACTTTATCTTTCAAATGTCTTAAACGAGTGACGGACTATGACCATAAAGCAATTCAATTTAAGGAGCTTGTGCTCGTGAAACGGGCTCAGAGTCTGAAACGCTAACGTGTTTGATGAGACATGTCGACAGTTCCGATATGACTCCTATGTGCGAACAAAGGCTGCTGGAGGTTCAATATTTCATGGCAAGAGATTGGACGTTGGATCCTCAGCTGTATGAAGCTTGCCACGATGAGGCTGTTAGTAGGTACGTAAATATAAAAAGCCTAAATTTTTGCGACGTGTTTATGGTAAACAAGCATTATGTAGAAGCTGTGGTGTAAAGGATTTCATAGGATGCATAGTTTAAGCAAAGGATCATCACGTTTGTTGTTGTAAACATTAATCTAGAGTCATGTATTCTGATTGTGTTAAGCATCTGAATTGCCACCTTTTTATGTTTCAGATGTCATGCGCCTGCCAATTGGCACATGTCGTCGAATGGGCCAGATCCTGGTCCAGCAGTCCTGGCTTGTCTGTACAGATCCGCATATGACGATGAAGTCCCGGTAAGGAATTGCAACTTGTTTTAATGTTGCCACTTCAAAGTGTGTAGAAACATTTTTCGCTTCACAAGTTCTTTTGATACACAATGGCTTTGCCTTTGGCATGTAATTTTATGTGTGAATCTTCCAAAACGGTGCGATTCCATTAATGGTTGTAAAAAATTCATAGATTCTGTATGCTGCTTTTGTGGCAGCCTCCAGCCTTTTATTTCCAAAGAAAATCGGCAATTCAGTTGATGCAACATCTGGGCAATTCTTCAATTTTGGTTTTTGCTTTTATTAACTTTTACTCGCTTTTCTTCAGCTATCGAAGAAATGTGGTATAGAGGTCAGAAGAGTCCTACATACACGAGCAGTACGTGTGAATCTGATTCCTGACATCGAAGACGCCTGCCGAGAAGCGTTGTCTGAGTATTGCTCTAATAATGTGAAGCCAATGGAGGTTTGTATTGGCACATAGATCTTCATTTTTTCTTCTTTTTATATGGTTGAAGAAGGTAGCGATAAAAAGCATACTTATGAAAATGCCTAATTCCCTTCTATTTTCTTCAGTTTGCCAGCAATCGGTTGAGTAGTAGTTTTCTTCAATAGTGGCACCTTTATTTACAATTCTTTTTTTTTCGGGTGCAACTTTTTCCTCACTTGTTGACAAGATACCCGGCATGGTAAAACG